TTTGGTACCCACAAGTGAAAGTTTGATCGATTTTGGCCGGCCCGGTGGCGCACTGCTACAGTGCGCCGCTTGGGAGTGTGGCGGCGCTCCCGCTGAGGGTTCGGATCCCACATACAGACCGGCTGCTCACTGGCTGAGCGAGGTGCGGGAGCAACACCGAGGGTTCCGATCCCGTGGCCGGTCCTGGTCCAGTACGGGCGCGACACTGAGGGTTGCGATCCGTTGCCGGACACGAAAAAAGAAAAAAAGGAAAAAAAAAAAAAAAAAAAGAAAGTTTGATCAATTTCAATTTTTCAGTCAGAATTGGGTATACTAAACAATTTAGATGTCTACAGTGTTGACCATTGTTTCTGCTGTTAATCATTGGTCCTCTTCAATTACAGCATTAACAAGAAGAATTTTTTCTTTACAAATTAATGTACACTGTCTGCTTTCCAGGCTTCATATTCAACATGGTCTCATCCTTCCTCAAAATGAGTTATTGAATCAAGATGGCAAAAAGATGGTCCCCAGTCTAGGGATATAGACTCCCACAATCAACCAATTTACAACTATTAAAAAGCAAAGACTGCCAAGCAGGAGCCACTAGAGCTCAGGGGAAGAGGAGGAGAGACCTACGGAGTTCATGAAAGTGGGAGAAGCTGTAATAAGAGAAAGAAGGGACCACTTGGACTGTTTCGAGCCCCGGCCATTTCAAGGCTGGCCCTGGTGAGCACACAGAGCAAGAGCTGGCAAAAAATGTAGCTGTGCCCTTTGTATGAAGTTGCTTGGAGACTGCAGGGGAGAGGAGGGCCTTGGTGGCCCCCAGGACAGCAAGACCACTGACAGGGTTTCTGTAGACCCACAGAGTAATGAGGGGTCACAGACAACTGAAAAAAGGAGCCACTCAAAGGTTTGTCAGTTATCACAAGGGACCAGCACATGGCCCACTCAATGGGAAGTATTTGGAGTGCAGGAGATGGGGGAGACTGGCCCCCTGGAGGGACACTGGGGCACAGCATGGACAGCTGATCTGCCCTCCAATCAGCACAGGACCACTCAGTGGGGACTGGTCAGGAATATAGAACTGCAGGGGCTGCAGTTTGCTGAAAAGAGTCAGGCCCAGACCAGAGTTTCCACACAACCCAGGTGTACTGGACCTCACAAGACCCAGAAGTGCTTAAAAGGTTAACAATTAAACCTGAGCTGCACAAAAAGAAAAGCCTTCCCCAGAGAATCAACAGCAAAGCAACAATTTAGCTCAATAACAGGGCTCAAGTACTGGTCCCCATAGGATGTTCCCCCATTTTAGAAGTAAGCAAAGAACAACAAATTAGTTCCAGTGCAGAATTTAAGTGATGGGAATAGCAAATGATTGAACACAACTGAAAGAGAAAACAAAATACCCATAGATCAGAGACAAAGTTCTAATATTAACCAGTAGAGGTCTGACACTGCCAAAGAACACCTACAAAACACAGAAGTACTGGAAGACCCCAGGCTCCCAAGGTGGGGTGAGGGGGACCTGACGGCCTCAGCCATGCACTGCCCCCCCCACCCGCCCTGACATCTGCATCAAGCCTGGCAATGACTGAGCTACGGCCAAAACCCCCACTGTGCTCCCGAGCCAGAGCTGGAGGGCCCCCTGTGGGCCTCAGACAAACCCCTTTGCCCTCCTCAATCAGGCCAGCAAAGGAGCTGACCATGGGCCAGCCCTGCCACCCCACACCCACCTCCATTTCCCTACTGCCTCCTTCCTCCCTCCTTCCCCTCTCACTGCTCCACAACATATTAGAATGTTAAAAAAGTAATAATAATAATAAATAAATATTTTTTAAATGAGTTATTCATTTGTAAACTGATATCTTTGGGACACTGTCCCCATAAACTTCATAAAGCATGAATAATTTCACCACACTTCAACCAAGCTTCCCCATAAATTTGACGTTTGTTCTTCCATTTTAGCAGAATTCCTGTTACTCTGATAGGGGGTCTTTTCAAACCGATTTCTTATCCTTCTTAGTGCCTCAAACTAGGTCTTGCTCACACATCTTATAACAAGTTAGTATAAGTTTATTTTGGTGCAAAAAATTTTTGCAATCCATGCAAGCTTTTTCATAATACACGTTTTCCATGAACTTTTTGAAAACCCCTCGTATTGTCTGTGGAGAGGAGGAAAAAAATTCATGAGTGCTGATGAGAACAGTATGCTACAAACAAATGATTAACTTAACAATCCACACCAGAGATCTAAAAAATCTTCAATTACAAGTACTCCTTCGTTCCCTACAACTCCAAGTCAAGCACTTTTATGTGTATAAAATAAGCAAGTAGACTATATATTTGATGCTTCTAACTCTAAAATTTTGAAATCCTAATATTTGATTTTACATTTCCTATGATAAAAGACCGAATCAGGTACATCATATCTGTGAAGACAGAAAAATATATTAGGGTACTTCAAAAATTTCATGGAGAAAAAGAATTGAAAACTAATACAAATAGTTCCTTGAACTTTTTGTGGTACCCTCATATTATTTTTCCTTGCTCTAGGGCTGTCTAACTATATCATAGTAATTCTTAACACAAAGTACTGTAGGCCCTATCAGCAGGTGGGTTCTAGGTTTTAGAAAATAAATAAATAGTGGTTCCTATGTTTGCACATATAATGCTAACACCCCTTGCTAAATCAGTAGAACATTATTAGGAGGGAATACTGTAACTTTAGCCATTGAGGCTACAAGTATTGTAGAGATTATGTAATCATAATAACAGCTATGACATTTAGAGTGAAATACAAAGTAAACTTACAGTAGAACGCTTCCAGAAATAAATAATTTCATCAATATTTCTAGCAGGGTGAAGTAAAAAGTAGTCACTCCATTCATCCCAGTCTACTGTCATTGACCCATCACTATCCATGCTGAAATTAAGAAAAAAAAAAGAATGCTTATAACATTTTTTAATAAAGTTAGACAGCTATAAAAATTACTCAGTTAGGGCCGGCCCGGTGGCGCACTGGATAGTGCGCTGCTTGGGAAGCGCGGCGGCGCTCCCGTCCGAGGGTTCAGATCCCACATACAGACCGGCTCCCGCTCACTGGCTGAGCGAGGCGTGGGAGCAACGCCGAGGCTTGCGATCCCGTTGCCGGTCCCCGGTCCGGTACGGGGGCAACACTGAGGGTTGCGATCTGTTGCCGGACACGGAAAAAAGACAAAAGATAAAAAAAAAAAAAAAAAAAAAAAAAAAAAA